TCCCCCCCCTGCCCTTTTTTTTTTTTTTTTTTTTTTTTCATTTTGTCAGAAATTGGTGTATGGCTACTTTTCATGGTTGTCTTATGTAGTCTGTATATAGTATAGTTTGGAACTTTCACATCGCATTTGATTAGTGAAAAGAAATATATAATGGAAAACAGGATTTTAAAGCCACAGAAATTGACAGCCAGACTAGTGGCCTAGGGAGTCTATTTAATGTTTTAAAAACTCTTGAAAAGATTTCAACTTATCAGTACCCTTTTTGTGATTATATTCTGTGCGCTTTGGCAGTCTGCTTATGTATTTCTTGCTCAACCGTAAGGCCAATTGCACACAAACTGTCCCTGTATTTTTCCAAGCTGTTAGTTCAGTGCATGCCCTAGTCACTGAGTCCAAAGAGAGTTTGCTGGAATACAATCTCTTTTCACAGCTTTCTAACTCTCTGTCCAGCTCTTCTCCTTAAAATAACAAAGATGTTATATAAATGCAAGGATTTTTAGGGAGGAGCTTATCTGTTAAGGTTTAGTGTAGAAAGCAAGCTTTCGTTTTAAAAAGGTCAAATATTACAAAATGCTGCGTGTTGAGCGTACTCAGCTCATCACCGATTATGTTGGGGACAAAATAATGTGATTCAGTTTTCTTTCTTTAATATATTTTTGGGTCTGTCACATGCCTATTACAAGCCTGAAAGTGGTCAAGGAAAACTTTTCAGGTATTTGTCCAAAGCCTAGACTACATCCTTCTGATTTAGTTAAGAAAAAAATCACAAATTTTAGAGATGAGACCCCTGTTACACAGGGGTCTTGTAATATCACTTTGTGTTGTAAAAAATTTGTTTTGCTTTCAAGAGTTATGTGAAAGGAAGGGGCAGGGATGTTAACTTCTAGAATATGAAAACTGAACACCTGGAGATAATTATATTTTTAAATATTTTCAGGCTGAGTCAGAGTTAATGATAAATGGGAACTATAATGGACTGGCAGATGATTAGTAGGACTCATCATTATAGTATGTTTAGCATAATAGGCACAGTCTTCTTGATTATTCAGTGACAGTTTGTGTAGTAACTTCTCAATTAAAAGACTATGTCATGCTGACAATAAATATGTTCACTAGATAAGTGTGCCTTGCTTAAAATATGTGTCTTCTGGAAAGTGATATTAGCTTTCCCTCATAAGAGGAAACATTAGTAGACTTCAGAAATTTATGAAACAGAGCTTAAGTGGGTCTTACTTGGGAACATGAATTTTGTAAGAATACAGAGACATTAAATGTGATCAGTAAGTCTTTAGTAGAAGACCAGGCTGTGAAACAGGGCTGCTGTAGATTCCCATAATCTTCTCTCAGTCAGTCAGCCATAATAGCAGCCCTACCTGTAAGTTGGTGAACACTGAGCATGTCCAAGCAGGTAACCAAAAACGAGAGAATGCTCTGAAACGGATGAGAAGTCTTGTTACTTTGATCAACTTCACAAGTCATGGTTGCATACAGAAAAAGGAGTGAGTCGAGGTTTCACAGTTCTTTAACAGACTAATATCTCTCTTATTGTTTTAGCACATTAAAACAAACGATGAGCCTTTCGTGAGTAATGTTGTGGTCACCTCCCGTAGACATCCAGTACAGCTGCATGGTTGGTGATGCTAGCAAGGGAGTAGCTGGCGGGTTGAGTTTTGAATCCCTGGTCTGGCAGGCAAGATATGGGCAAATTGGAAGGGTCCAGGGCCAGCTTGAAAGAGACCTCTGGAGACAGTCTAGTCCAACAGCAGTCTGACTCTATCCTCCCTGTAGCTACCCATGAAGCATAAGCAACGCATGCTGGTGTTAAGATTCCTGTTATAGGTAGCAGACTGCTTCCTGCAGTTTCTCAGACTTCAGTAAGAAAGTTTCCCTTAATGGTAAGCCATAAGAAATTGTCTGAATCAGACTTTCACATCATGGAATAGGTTTGGTTGCATCTCAAGGATTCCCTTGCTTTTGTTCCCGTTGTCCTGGAAGTTAGAGTGAGGCTTGCTAGATTCTTGTTAGCCAACTTTGTGGGTTCTGTAATCATAAAACGAGAAACTTATCATTTTTTAATGAAGGATTAAATTAATCCTTCCTTAATGTGAAGGTTATAGAATTATAGAAAATGCTCATTCAGCTTTTTTCATTTCAAATTGGTTGTCTATGCCTATTTCCATCCTATCTGATAGGTAGACTGTATTCTTGATGGCTGATTAGCATCAGTCTCAGTTCTCTGAGGTCAATTTTTTAACTGTCACTGGTTAAAAAGGCTTTTTTTTTTTTTAAATAAACTCATTTATTTTGAGACTGGTGCTATGAAACATTCATATAAATAGTAGCCAGTGACATCTCAGTCTAGAGCCAATTGAACAGTACCAGTTAAACCTACCAGAAAAAAAGTGTCTGTTTGGATCAGTAGTTTAATAATTTAATATAGATTGGTATTTTGCCTAGTTTATTGCTAGTGATGGAAGGCAGGATGTTCTTGGTCTTGGTTCGAAGGGACTATTATTCTAGTCCCTTTCTCCGCTTCCCCCCGCCAAGTTCTTTCCAACAAAGTAACACCCTTCTCTTCTTTCCAATCCAAAAAAAAAAAAAAAAAACCTCTCAAAGATTGCATTGGTGATCCTCTGGATTATTGGAGACTATTTTTAACTGTGGTAAGTACTTGGAGTTTGGATTTGCTGGATATACAGAAAGTGGAAGAATATTGGGGGATTTTTCCCATTATTTCACAGAGTAATTCTGCTGTCATTCATATATGGGTCTAGCATCGCTGAACTAATGGCCCTCAAATAGTAACTTATCAAAGCTGCTCAGGGATTCTTGCCATTGCTATAAAAAGACATTTGGCAATAAGCAGTATGTCATATAAGAAGCACAGCCATTTACTAGAATATAAATATGCTAACATACTTCACTTGAGAACTCTTCTATGGCATCTGGTTCTGTAAGACTGAAGTAAGTAGATAGTATTGAACATCACAGGTGATTAGTCAGCTAGTCATTCTAAATACAAATAATTTTCAAGCTGTTATTTCTTCAAGCAGGATGATAAGTCACTGCATTTGTTCTGTATTTCTGTTGGGCATTTAAGCTGAGATCTCAGAGCTTTTTTGTAAAAACTAATCAAGAAGTGATTTGATGAAGGTTCTTTAGGTAATTTATACCCATTTCACAGGTAGACAACAGAGAAACATAAATCACTCGATTCAGTCTTAGACCATTTCTTGACTGGAGTCAAAAAGAGCTAGGCAAAGCTCTATGCTTTTACATCTGTAACTCTTGTATGACCTAATGAACGTATTTAAAATTCTAGTTCCCCACATCTGTAAGAATTTAGTTTGCCAGGTCTTAGATACCTATACCTTCCTCTTGCATTGCTTGCTTTCTCTCTTGTTACGGCCTCCTGTTGGCCCTGCTTGCTTGCAGAAGCAGGGCAGCAGTGGTGTGCCTGCCCAGATTGGTTCAGGGCTGGTGATTTCTTGTTTGACACCCTCCTACTGTGAATGGAGTCCTGACTGGCCATCATCTGAGTGGCATATGATTTCTGTAATTAGGACTGGAGGGGGAAAAAATCTGGATCATATAAGCAAAACGTGTATTATCTTGCCTTCTCCAGAGCATTGCAGATTTCTGGACTGGTTGTACTGGACAGGACTTTCACAGTCTTGCAGGTGAAAGAGTTGACTGTAGTTATTACAGCTTCATGAGTAACCTTCAAGTACTTCCTTGATGATTTAGGTGAATTTAAAGCCTGCTTCCTTGATGATTTAGGTGAATTTAAATCAAAATCTGTAAGTTGCTTCTGGGATTGGGATAACCAAATGGTGTACTTTGATACTGTGAATAGCACTAATTGACTAATTGAGATTACTGGTTGATATCATTACTGGCAAGAAGGTGGTGCCTTTCCACTCCATATACGGGCCTGTTAATTCTTGATTCTCTCTCTTAGATCTGTGGTTTGCATGTATTTGATTGCCAGAGACATGTCTTTAAGCAGTTGTTGATTACATATATTGTCTAGGAATCACAGGTGTCCAACTATCAGTTGACTAGTCAACTGAACATGTCCGTGTGTAGGCAGAGCTGGGTACTCCGTGAAGCTGTCGAGTAGATTGTGGCTGAGAATTCATTGTTCCAAAGAGCTGTCTTTAAATTAGCGTACGCTGTTCTAACTGAAACAGTGCAGGAAATATATTCCTGTTAATGGCACTGCTCTCCTTTCCCAAGCTTTATCAATTACGGCATTTCTTTTCCAATACATTCACTGATGAAACCTGACCTCTCTTTATTCAAATGCTGAGAAATATTTTTTTCACAGAAGAGTGTCTGTAACCCTTTATTGCAGTTGGTATTGCTCCTTTTGATACAGTTCCTGAAAGAGAGTTCTTCCCTGAACTGGTCATATTATGAAATGAAGAATAGAGTTAGTAATAGGAAAAATTACAATGTAAATCAACGCTTGAGTCCCTATTCCCAGCGGCATTGCACACTGAAAGTCTAGCAGACCATACCAAAAGATTGTCATGAAATACAAGTTAAAATTCTTGCTCCATTACGGTTCTGACTGTTAGGAAGCGTAAGAAGAGATAATTGTTGTTCTTTGAGGAAATCTGATATTCGAGCTTGCCTGGCCTGAGGATAGGTCTCTGAGATCTGGATTTGATTCTCGCTTTCTTGTTCTTGAAGATGGGGGGAGAGAGTGGGGAGTGTTTATTAAAAGCTAAGCTTTAGTAGCTGGGGAATGTAGCTCACAAAGTTAAAAGAGACTCCCGTAACCAACTGGGGGCCAGCAACGAGTGGAGCCTCATGGATTACAGCGAGGCTTGAATCCTCTAGGCTCTGTGCACGGTAGAGGACCTCCCAGGCCAATAAAGAAAAAAATGTTAGTAGAGTAAATGACAAAATGAAGTATTTAAGAATTGTTTCTGTATGGACTCTGGGAATTTAACACCCTCCCCCCATTTTTTTTTTTTAATTTTTATTTTCAGAAAGAAGACACAGTTCCTCTAGCAAGCCGCCTTTGACTCCTCCCTCCTCTTCAGTATTTTCCCTCATTTCATCTTTCCCTTCAAAAAACAAAGGTAGCGGTGGAAGTGGGAGCAATCGTTCATCCAGTGGAGGTACTAGTGCATCATCATCCAATTCCAAGTTGTTGAAATCACCCAAAGACAAGCTGCAGATCAGTGGAAACAATAGGCTAATGCATCCGGTACAGCACAGCAAAGTTCCCCATGATAAAATGTGAGTATGCATTTTGACAAAGATTTACATTTTATTACTTGCATGGAAAGTGCTGCATCAGTAGCATTTCTTTTGGTTCCACAGAGTTTTTGGTTTAAAAGATGACATTGTTAAAACTCCCCTAGATCTTTTCTAGCAGCCTGATTGAAGAGTATGGGTACACTAATGGCATTGTTGAATGAGAAGTCTTGCAAAGGTGTTTCTTGAATCAGTATACGTGAAGATCATTTTGCTAGGAGGACTCAGGTTTCTGATCAAATCTGTATACTTTGATCATACGCGAGTTTTAGCTCTGATTCAAGTGATTTTTGACTTGCACACATCACTGTTATTCATTGTGTAATCTTAATTTGCTGTTGTAGAACAGGGCCTTGCTTCCTGGGACATAACAGGACTGTTCTAGTCGCTTTTGTGATGTGCTGTGTCTCTGAATTCAAATTACAGATGCTGAAGTCCTTGATGACTCCCTGAAATACTTATGAGGAGGTGGGGAAAAAAGGACAGAAGAGATTGTGGACCTGAAAAAATGTGAAAATAGATATGAAAAAATTTATAATAAGAGAACTGGGAATAGAGGAGGCCGGTCAACTGCGTAAATCTATATTGTGACTAGATCAGGGTATTGTAGAGTAATAAAATACATTTCCCATAGCTTTGATAATATATGACTCTGTGATACTACAATTGCCTGCAATTTTTTTTCCATTCGTTTCCCTAAACAATAGCATGACTCCATCTGTCAAAGTGGAAAAGATTCATCCAAAGATAGATGGTGCCCAACTGAAAGCTGCTGTTGGTCCAACTTGTTCTACTACTGTGAGTTCCTCAATAAAGACTGGCCTTAATTGTCCCTCAATACCAAAGCCACCCTTGCCTTCCCCTGGACAGATACTGAATGGTAAAGGTCTTCTCTCTGTGCCTCCATTTTTGGAAAAGAAACCTGAAGAAAATACAAATAATAGGAAATTTTTACATAAAAGATTGTCAGGTAACTTTTTTTAAATATTATTTGCTATATTGCTCGTAGTAGCATATAAAGAAGTAGGCATAGTCAAATATAAGCTTTAACATAAATATTTGCAAAAAATAAGCTTCAGAAATAAACCAAACATTAACTTTCATAGGGTTTTAAATTAAGCTTTAATATGGTACAACTTTAAATATTAGAATTTAACTATTTAACTTGACGTGTTCTTAGAGGCATACAAATAACTGGAAATGTTGCTGTTGCTTTCAGAAACCATCCAGGCCTCAGAGGCCTGTCAGTTCCTACGGTTTTAAAATTACACTCCTCTTCTATCTTAAAAGATAGCAGAATAAGGTAGTATGATAGTAAGATAGTTCTATATGAAAGGTATACAGGTATGTAGAAAACTGAACAACTGGCACAGCATAGACTAGAAAACAAAACAGTCTGCTCTTCAAACACAATAACTCAATAATAATCTTAGTAGAACGGTAGAAAAGTTCAACAACAACAACAAACATCAGTTGTGACTGCTCACGTTGATGGTGACCTCTTAAATCTGTTCTTGGTTTTGCAAGATCATTTTTTCTTTAAAAAAAAAAAAAAAAGAAGCATTCTGGCATGCAGGATCTGCTTCTCTGGGATCTTTTACAGCTGTAAGTTTCTCCCTTCTGTTTGCAGAACTGAGATCTGTGTTTCAGCATGTCACACTGTGGGAGTAGAAAACGTTTGGTTTTAATTCAGTAATTTTATTTGTACATTTGCACGTGTTACACCTGAAAACAGGTTTTGGTTTGGTCAAGTTCTATGATGAAAATAAATCTTAGCGTTTCAAAGTGTTTTTATGACATCTGTTTGCTTTCAATAATGTGCTATTTATGTACCTTTAACAGAGAGAGAATTTGATCCTGATATATACTGTGGTGTCATTGATGTGGAAACCAAGAAGCCCTGTACTAGGTCTTTGACATGCAAGGTAGGATATCTTAATCAGAATAAGATTATGATGTAAATTTTAAACTTTATTTCCTGAGTAACATGACAAAAAACGGAAAACTACTAATTTTTGCTGTCAGTATTTACCACTGTAAACGGTAACATGTCTTGGTAACATCTGAAAATATGTTGCCAGAAATGAAGAAGGAAGTGTTTTTGAAATCCAATTAACTTGTTTATTAAAAAATATGTATTCCATTAAGTAACCCAAAGGGTTTTTTATTTTTTCTTTTTACAAACCCGTTAAACAGAATGCTGCCATTGGAAAGACTGTTGTTCCACGTGCGGATAGTATGAGGCCAGCATGTTGCTGTTCTTTTTGGAGAGAGGCTTTCGGTTATGGATCGTGAATTTTTAAAAGTCTATCATAAGCATTAAAAGTATTGTTTGTTTATGCAGGGTTTAGATAAACAAGCTCTCCCTCCTCCCCTCTACCCTCCTGAAGAAAAAACCCAAAGTCTGTAGTAGGTGCTGAGGAGGCATTTGTGTAAATGCTAACACTGCTTGATGTAGGACTTCAGCTTCTTCAGAAAAGAGTAATCGGAAGAAGCCACAGAGTATACCTAGAGGTCAAACTCTAAATTAAACCATCTTTTTAAAACTTTCAATTTGATGAAGAGTGTTTTCTGGCTCAGAACTCTTTAGGGGGCAGGGAGGGAGGGTATCATTTAGCCCCAAGAAACCAAAAATCAAAATCCTGGGCAATTGTGTAATGTTTAGCTACTTTCCTGCCAAGCAGCTAAACTGTCAGTAGAGGAAGCATCTGGTAAATAAACCACCTACAGAACAAAGGTAAAATGGAGCTGATATTAATGACCCAAAGGAACTGAACTTGAACATGTTGCCCTTTTGGAATTGCAAGGGGAAGGCAATTGTTTTGCTAATAGAGAAGGGAAGAGTATCGAGTCTCTTACAAGAGAACTAGAGAAACGAAAAGTTTAAAAGAGATAGGAGGTAAAATCATTTCTCAGCAATTCCTTATATTACACCTACTCATAAAATGTTTCTCTGAATTGTTATCCATGTCTAAGTTATATGATGATGATGATTTTTTACCTATCAAAAATGAACCGAATCAAACCTTTTATGCTGTATGAAAATAAGATATTGTATACTAATTTAACAGTCCAGAAAAATAACTTCCATCTGTTTTGATTTACCTAGAATTTGTGCCGCATGTATCTTACTCCATGTAGCATTCAGGATGCTCAAAGGACTTTGAATTCTGTCTGACTGTGGATTCTGCTGTGTGTCTGTGTGTGTCTGTGTGTGTCTGTGTGTGTCTGTGTGTGTCTGTGTGTGTCTGTGTGTGTTGCATATGTATTTCGCTGCATTAACTTTCAAAGAATATGTTAGTATATTAGAAGAAAGCAAGTAAAAGGTTTTTTTTGATACTTTTAGTGTTTCACATTAGAAGTCTGTTTTTAAAATCTGTGTTAAATATTTTATGGGTGAAAGTAAATATTTGATATTTTTTGTTGTGCATTATAGAGTAAGATAAATATTTTTAGATACCATTTTATTCCTGGCAATTAAGATACAGATGTGGAAAAGATTTGAAACTCTAGTCTTTGAAGAGCTTTGGCAGCTTCTTTTAAAAAGAAGTTTGAAAGAACTTTAAAAGAAATTTTTAAAGCAATTGCTAGTTTTCTTTTTTTAATTATCATACAGGGACATAATCACCCATTAAGCAATTTTAAAATTTCTTTTACAAGCCATTTGTCTGTTTATTTACTCAACCGCAAATGTGATGATTTTCTTTGTTCTAGAATTCTAGACATGTGTTTTGAGCGTTTAATTTCCACAAATCTAATAGCCTGTGATTAATGATTTATTCATGGATTTGTAGACACATTCCTTAACCCAGCGGAGGGCTGTACAGGGTCGAAGAAAACGATTTGATGTGTTGTTAGCCGAGCACAAAAGCAAAACCAGGGAAAAGGAATTTCTTCGACATTCGGATCATCATCAGCAGATGCCCCCTCTCAGGGAACCACATCCCTCACCTACTAAAACTTCCCAGGAGCTGCACCAAAATTCTCATGGAGTTACTCTTACAGAATCAAAGCCTTTATTACCTAATAAACCCAAACCTCACCCCCCCAGTCTTCCAAGGTAAGGAAAATCTGCGTATCCAGTAGGTATGAAGTGAATACTGATAGCTTCATGATGTGGGCTTTGAAAGAGAGAGACGGATCTGTTGGCTGAGGGCCGTATTTTTGCTCTGGGCCTGGTGACCAGCTGCAATTAGCAATTCCGGGCTGAGCGAATAGGGCCTCATAGCGAAGAGGGTCTGATGTTTGAATCAGTAAAAGATGACTTGCATCAATGAAAGCAGTTCTGCTACAATTAGGTAATGCTAGGCTTTCCAAGGGGTACACCACCACCTCACCTTCCTCTCAGGAGATGCGTTGAGATAGAGAAAACATTGGAAATTTGTTAATGTAAAGTCCCTTTTGTAGGTAATTAAAAATTCTGAGCTTAAACGCTTGCTAAACTAGCCTTTGTTCACTAACGCCTTCACTGCTTGCCTTGCTCAGGCCTCCAGGCTGCCCAGCCCAGCACAGTGGAAATGCCCCTAGCGATTCTCCTTCTGTCCACGAATCCCCTCACCCTCCCTTGCCTGCAGCTGAGCCAGCCTCTCGGTTATCCAGTGATGAGGGAGAATGTGATGAAAAAGAAGAGCCTGTTGAAAAACTGGATTGTCATTATTCAGGTCATCATCCTCAACCAGCCGCTGTATGTTTCAAGTTAAAGTTAAGCTTGGTCTCTCACCGGTTCCAAATTTGTGAACAAGTGATTTGGGGGTTTTAAGAGCGTTTTCTGTGGTGTGTGTGGAATTTTCTATTCATACTTTATTTTAAGAAAACAATTTTGCTGCCAAATAAGCGGTGAAGGTTTAGTTCTACTTGCAAAGTAGAGGTACCATGAAAATATCTTTTGGACCTCACTTTTGCAATACGAAAGAAGTCAAAATGCCAAAATACTGAAGATGGAATTGGTAATTGCTATTAAGAGCTGTGGGTTTGGGGTAGGAGGGCAGGTAGGATTTCCAGGAAGTGATCAGTGTGGAAAAAGGACATGCAAATAATGCTTTTTTTTTTTTTTTAAGTGAGATTTCATTATTAGCTTTTTTTTTTTGACATTGTTACTACAAAGTGCCAGCCATCCAAGCAAAGGTAACAGTAGCGTGTTTTTTAATATTTGAATCTTGATGAAAGTTAGCATGTATGGTATGCTTTTTTTTTTTCCAAATGCAAAATATTGAAATTTTTCTGCATTTGATACAGCTCTTGGATTTCTCTAGTTTGTACCATTAGATAGCAGACTCTAAATGATTGCAAGTTGTTCCTTAGTGTGTTAACATGAGAAGTCTTTCATGTGAGATTAGTTATTACTGTTGCTTTCAACAAAGTATTAAAAGGCTGTTTAATGGAAAAAAAGGAGATGAACCATAAGGTGCAATAGATGAGCCTTCCCCTTTAATTTCTGTCTTTTCAAACCACTGTTAGTCTTACTAAATGCACAAGCTTTATTACCTCGCCTGTATATCAAATTATCTTTTTTTTTTTTTTAAACTGGCTATGAGCAGATAAGCTGACACCTCCTCAGAAGTAAATGTTATACTGCTGTCCGTCCTTGTTTGAATCCAGAGCGATTCAAATCTGACTGCTGCTGCTGTTTGTAAATATGGGTGTATCAAGTGGGTAGAAAATTATCCCAATACAATAGGGCCAAAAATTTTAAATGGTTGTTATAGCGTGGAAATAAAAGTTCTAATGTATGGGTTTTTTTTAACCTTTGTTTTAAACATCTAAAAGCAAATCCATTTAGCAATATTTGTTTAAAAGCAAGTGTGTTATTATTTCAGGGAGTTGTTACTGCAAGTAGAAAGCACCAATAAAAATCTATCTTTTCAGTTTTGCACATTTGGTAGTCGGCAAATTGGAAGAGGTTATTACGTGTTTGATAAGCGGTGGAACCATATTCGATGTGCACTTAACTTCATGGTGGAGAAGCATCTGAATTCACAGATGTGGAAGTGAGTAGAAATGGAAGAGTTCTTACTCTTGTTGATATTTGTAGGAATACATAAAGCCTATAGTTTTAGCTACAGAAAAGTCATCTTGTGTTCATGTTAACCAAATCAAAGGTTGGTAGTCTATGCTTTACATTTTTATGCAACAATTAACAGTTAATTCAGCAGAATATTTTAGTGGCATTAAGCAAACTCAAAATGCAGTTACCGTAATGTAGTACTATTAAACTGAGTATTATTCCAAAGAATGGTAGCTACCTAGTTTTTTGTTTTTCTTCTGTTTACCTGCAGGAAAATTCCTCCAGCATCTAGTAACACGACATCTGTTCGTGCACCACATCGGACAAACTCAATGCCTACTTCACAGTATGGTGTCAGTGCAACAGGTTTCCTTTTACCCACCACGGTTATGTCATCGCCAGCATTGGTATCTCCTTCCTGTATGTCTCTGAATAATAAATCGGTACCATCACATGGAACTACACTAAATGCCAATCCTGCAGCTTTGGGTGCGGTGGATCCTGTTTGCAGTATGCAATCAAGACAAGTGTCTTCATCCCCTTCAACACCTACAGTGCTTTCCTCAGTACCTTCACCTATGCCCAGCAAACCTCAGAAATTGAAATCCAGCAAATCTTTTAAACCTAAGGAATCTTCTGCTGGCAGTGGCACCTGTAACAGCACCGGCAGCGTCAGTAGCAGCGGCGGCTCAGGAAAGAAGCGTAAAAACAGTTCCGCACTGCTAGCACCTTCTCATTCCACAGAGTCCTTTAGAAAAAACTGTGTGGTTAACTCTGGAAACTCTGGGACCTCCTATCATCCGTCGGTGACGTCTTCGTCCCACAGCGTTGGCCTCAATTGTATGACTAGTAAAGCTAACTCGGTTAGCCTCAAGCATGACCAATCAGGGAGGGGTCCTCCGACTGGAAGCCCTGCAGAATCGATAAAAAGAATGAGTGTGATGATGAACAGTAGTGATTCCACTCTCTCCTTAGGGCCATTTGTTCATCAGTCCAGTGAGCTGACTGTCAATTCACACAGCAGTTTTTCACATTCACATACTTCCCTAGATAAATTAATAGGAAAGAAAAGAAAGTGCTCACCTGGTTCGAGTGGCATAAATAGCAGCAGCAGCAAATCAAACAAAGTTGCCAAATTGCCATCCATGAATAACGTTCATGCAAAACACACTGGTGCAATCCCAGGGGCACAAGGACTGATGAACAATTCTCTTCTTCATCAGGTATGAAATTTTTATCTTGGCGTTAGCCGGTGAGAATGTCTCCTCACGTGCTTATATTGATGGTGTTGCCAGAACTGTTAGCTAGCCGATTCCACGTGCAGTTCTAGTAAAAGAGAGTTGTCTCTTCTTCTGTTTGCCCATTACTCATTTGAGTGTTTTTATACTGAATGTACTTTCAGAAGAATTTTATGAGCACCTTTCTCCTGCAAAGTGTGGTTTTTATTCAGGAAAAAAAAAAAAGAAAAATAACCTTAAATATGGCATCCCAGGTTCTGCATTTGTTCCCTGGGAATCACTATCAGATGAAATCCGGTTCTCATGTTTAAAAAAAGAAAAAATCTTGCTGCCAGCTATGGAGCTGAGCCTAATGTCTGAGCCCGAGTTCTTCTTTTTGTGTCAGTAGTAAACGTTTTAGAGAGTGGAATATAAGGATACTGATTATAGAAGAACTGTGATGAAGTAATTAAGCCTATTATCCCAAGGTGTCACTGACTAACTTCTTAGTAATAACAAGATTAGATGTTATAAATAAGGTAGAAATCTTTGCAGTCTGTAAAACAAACAGATTTACTATAAAGAAAGCAGATCTCAAGAAATTGTCAGATACTGTTTTTAGTTTTGGGGAGGGGTCCAAAAAAAAAAAATTGCCTTGGGAAACTAGTGTATTGCTAGAAACCTCTGGAGAAATTAGAATGAGAAATAATTAAGAAACCTGTAACTTAGAATTCTTAACAAAATTATTCAAATTGACTTGGAAGATCACTTGGAGGGGTAAATATTATTTGATATAGTTTGAGGAGAGCACAGAAGAGGGAGCAGATTCCCGGGTTATCCAGCCCCAACTCCATGAGTATTTTGGGATTTGTTTTCTATGCGTGTTTTCCACACTGAAAAGCTGAGAAATATTTTTTGTTTCCTCTGGTACTAAAGCCCTGAAATCATGGTAACTGGAGAGGTGGGAGGTCAGAAAGATCTTTTTCAGAATGGTTTCTGAGTTTTCAGTTTCAGCCATCGAGCAAGACTCTCACTGCTTTTGTGTGATGAATATACTTACTGTAATGAGAGAGAGAGAGAGAGAGAGAGAGAGGAAAAAAAAAAAAGCATTTGTATGATTTGGCATTTGATAGTTTTTATTTCAACTGCGCAGTATAAATAAAGGAAAAAATAATTTGAGTGAATTTAGGAAGGAAATCATATCTAAAGCCATTGTAACTTTAAAGAGCAACTAGATTGAGAAATGGGAGTACAAACAAGCCAACTGCTTATTAATGGTGACACATCGTGCCTTCTGATACCCACCAAGAAAGCTCTCTTTATTCCAAAAATGTCTTCTAAGGGCGTCCGTGCTAATAGCCTTGTTTACTCATCTTTCTGTTTTGTTTATTTGCTCAAAAGCCAAAGGCGCGTCCCTGATAGCTGAATATACCATGGTGAGAAGAACTGGACAGTTTCCACTACAAGCAAAACCTCCATCTGGAATTCTGGACTCCAAGATGCCTTGAGTTATCCCAGCTTCCCATGGTCCTCAGGTGTGGAAATCTACTGGACTGTCACTCAAACAAGGAATTTCCCTGAAGCCATGTCTGTAGCAGTGAATATACTAGAAATGGACACTGGATGAAGTTCAGCCACATAATTGCTCTTATCAGTGTTAACGGTGGTCTGGACTGTTTGCTACAAATCTGTGAGATTTTACTTACAGGAGTACATCATCTTGCCACTATTTGACATAGATTGGCTGGGCAAAAGAATGTTTTTTTTTTTTTTTTTTGGGGGGGGGGGGGAACATTACTGTGGACTTATTTTTATATTGATGGTGTCTTTTGTAGGTGATAGCTACCAGACAGACACTGTCACTAGAGAGGACCCCTCATCGCGGGGGCGGAGATGTGTGAGGCACAATGGAAAGAAGCCCTCAAGAAGGGAATATGGCTTTAGTGTTTTTATAGCAATGTTCCTTTAACGGAATATAAAAATAGCACAATTAAAAAATAGTCTGTGTTTTGCCCAGCCTTTTGCAAGTAATTTGGGATAAGAAGCTATCAGGAGTTTCAAAAAACTTAAAAAAAAAAATACACAAAAAATAAAAAGACTTGTTTGAGGCCATTGCTCAGAAAACAAGTATAAAAATAATGTTGTACTTGCATGATACAGAAATTATTTTCTATTATTTTGGATAAGATTTGATTGCAGAAGAAAACAAAAGTTAATTAATTTTGTTTAAAAAATCCAAAAATATTAAACAGACAAAGGCAAGTAACCTCTAAAACTATATGCCCAAAGAACATATTTCTTGACCTATACTGTATACCACAAGCCTTTGTTATTTAAAAAGAATTATAACTGTATTGGTTAAATTAGGCTGGATTTGCCTTCCAGCCTGTAAAAATAGCCCTTTTAAAACTGAGTATTTAAAGTATTTAAATATTTTCTAAAAAAAAGAAATAAATAAAAATGAATTATTTTATGCCTTGTTTGTAACACCTTAATGATTTAGTTATACGCTTTCAACCACTCTCAGTGAGATTTTCCAAAATTCTGGAAGAGATGCCAGTTAGCAGCTGAGTTCAACGTAAAGTGCAGATGTATGCATTACGGTCAACTTCTCTCACCTGCCGAGGTTTTATGAATAAAGGGGGCTTTACACAGTTTTATATAGTCCAGTCAATTTTTATGAAATATTTTGTCTCACTTCAAAACACCTCGAAGATGAATTCCACTAAAGGGCTTATTGTTACTCTAATTTAATTCGTCTGGATGTTTTTGTTTTTAAACATCAGGTAAAGTCTCAGAACTGACTAGACTTTTATTAAGGGGCAAAGCAAAGGAAAACAAATTACTAACCAAGAGTATACTTCTCTGCCTTAAAGGGGCACCAGCTATTGCTGAGAACAGACAATCTGAGCCTGTCAAATTGCTCACGTAGCCCAGCCTTCTCCCCGTTTCTGGTGGCAAATAGTACATCAGGGAATCCAAAGCCACTAAGAGTAGCAGTTGCTTAGTTGTTTACCTAATAATGCTTTCAGTTTAACCTGAACTTGCTACAAAATCATTGTTATACAGCAAAACAACGACAAGCCTCTATGCAGACACTTTAGCTTTGAATTGATACAAAAGATCACATATTTAGAAAGCAACGTACTTTAGACATTTATTATGCAAGTGCTTAAAAAAAAAAATTTTCAGGAACAAAAAAGTTCATATTTAATAAGATGCCCTATTGAAAGTGTTGTTAAAACTATGATTGGTTTAACTTAAAAGGAACCAAAGTGACATGCTCATTCCACAAAGAGAAATCAAAATGTGTGAAATCCTGCACGCTTGGAGTGAAACCCATGTTCTGATGAAGTCACTGGGGCAAAAATTTCACTTCCAGATAGCTTCGGTCACAAGTGCAATTTGACTCTTGATAGATATAAATGTAAAGGCAACAAAAAATGATGAGAATGAACGCTAGCGAGTTTGTGATCAAACTCTGTTTTTATTTTTTAAGGTTCTGTTGATCTGAAAGCATAATGGCAAATTCATGCTCATTCAAGAGCATGCAGACGTTTGAAAAAAGTTAATCCTTGATCACTGTGCTCGTGTAGAGCCAGTTTCTAGCGATACCTGCGTTGTGTAGTTGTGAGCCATTGGGAGTAAAAAATTAGAACGTCGTAAATTCTGTCTGCCCTTGAGCATAGACCTGCTTAAATATTATGTTTTAGATCTTGGTTATAAGCAGAACGTTGTTCCTGAAGCTTTTATTGTCACATAGTTCTTACTGTAAATAATTAAGGAAGCTTAAAATTAATTTTCCTTGCAAAATTGAATTTGCAGTGGCTGGGTTGTTTCTAGACAGATTTTGGTATTAATTTAAGAGATACAGTTTTTATAGTCTTTCCAACTTCTCGTTATGACTCCTGCAGTTTTCTTAACCTAAAAAATTGCTGCAATGATGAACAAAGAATTATACAAGAAAAAAACATACTTTTGTATCTTTATTTTGGAATTTCTTGTTCTATTATAAATATTGAAGTATCCCTATTTCAGAAGACATATTTTGTTAATTGATTGTACATATTTAAATATGTATTTTTGCACAGGTCTTTTTTTCTTATATCCAGTTTTGGTACAATTGAGATCATCTAGTATTTATTTATTAATTAATTAAAAAAGCAAATACCTTTTTATAATTTGAAGTGGTTCACTGCCAAGCCAATAGTAACATGCCTACTTTGCAACTTAAGGGATGCCTCTGTTTTGTGAAAGTTGTGTCCCTTTTAACGTCTTGGGAGTGGATACGTACAAACTATTGCCCGGCTCCTGCAGTCCGATTTGCGCAGCACTCTGCATGGGAATCCGACCGCAGGATTTGAGGCTAAATGGTCTAAATGGCATTGCTTATCAGTTGCCTGGTTCCCAGAAGACTACATTTAGTTAAGTGACACACTGCTTCTCTTTTTTTAGTGTTTGTGTGCGTGTGTGTGCGTGCGCATTTGTGTGGGTCTCATGTGGTTTAAAACTAACGGAAAAACTGAAAGTGCCTGATATAACTAGTTTTAAGCTTGGACTGTTTAGACAGCTTCTCCTTAAAAGACTTGAATGTTCAGTTGAAATTTTGGAGCTTGCTTTTTCCACCTATATATGTATCTATATCTACGTATAGATATGTATATGCTGAAATTTTAATGAGATGGGTTGACAAAAGAAAATGAACGATGCTGGTAATTTTTGTAAAATGTTTTAATTAGAATACCTTGTGTTGGAACAATCCCGTTAATAATGCATCTTAAAATAATGCCAAGGGTTTAAAATATGGTTTCAACCAGCAGTTTATTTAACTGCCTCATTTTGAAGGGGGGGGGGGAGGTATTCCTTCATAGATGAAATAATTTAGAAAATGTTCAAAATATCTTGTATTCCAGGAAAAAAGCAAAACAAAAACAAGTAAGTACCTCTTAAAACCATTAAAAAATGAAGATGTGATTTCCAAATGACATTTCTAAGGCAGTTGTCTTCCTGTA